CTCCCTCATCGTCTCCTCCCCCTCTTCTCCCTCGTAGCCCGCTGCTCCACAAGCCTCTCCCGCCAGTCAAGGTATGCCTGGATAATAGCGCACAGTCCACCCACCTTGAATACCTGAACGGACATGAAGTCCTGGTCACCGGACCGTGCTGTCTTATATAGCCTAGAAAGGTATGTCCACATAGCTTACTCGTGCCTCACTCAAAGGACGCATCACTACCATTTGCCCTTGTTTGAACGAATCTGCCCAAACCTAGGCAGTAGGTCCGTCCATATGAGAAAAGACTGCAGTGCAGTCCCTAAAAGGAGAATAGGGGCTGATAATTAAAAATAACAATAATAGTAAATAAAAATTGGTCTTGGTGAGACACCTAATCGATGGGGTCGTGGCAACACATACGTAGACCCCTTCTCCGGAGCGAATTCTTGATCTACATTTTAATAGCCCGTGAGTGTGCCACCCAAGCTAGCTTGCTGGTACCTGCTAGCCTTGCTGCAACCCCCACCAGAATCCCTCCGGTCTGTTGTGCCCAGGCGTAGCTTCCCTACTACCGCCCCCTGACGAGCATGCTCATATCCATTCCTCACAGTGGATCGTGGGGCAGCGGACGTAGGCCCCCCCCTGGCTATGCCCTGCTCATTATGCCCAGGCATAGTCCACCATTTTTCTGGTCCCCATGGTAATGCCAGTGCTCACCCTGCGACCCCAAATCTGCAAAATATGCAGATTTGGGACAGGTAAAAAAAAAACTTTTTTTTTTTTTACTTTTTTTTCTTTTTGGGCATAGCTCAGGTCACACGTGGCTGTCCCTGGTATTGTGGGGCCTTGACAAAATTTGTGTAACTGCTCCTGCACCTTGCCACACCCAATGGTCACACTCACTCTCAAACCTCTCACCACTGATCTTCAGCTGGTGGATAGATACCCCTGCTGAGATTTCCCGACCGTCAGGTTCTCTACCGTTTCATGCATGTCTTCCTTGCGCARGGGCCATGCTAATCWTSTCTGTATCGTTCSAATTTCAACGGATGTTCCGAAGGACTAGCTGGGAGCCTCGTCCTTGGGACATCGTCATCGACTGACCAGCCTCAGGTAACTCAGAATAACTTTGGTCTTACWTGCCAAGTCCCATTGTYTGAGCTCGAACACAKGYTGTACTTCAACAGTTCAGTGGTGTATCCACTGGACAAGGATCTCGGGTCACAACCGGTCCCGAAGACCAGTACCGGCCTCGTCCCAAATAAGAAAATAAAAGATAAAAAAAAATAATAATAAAAACTTAGAGATAGATAATACAGTAATAATAAAAAAACGGATGGGGGAGGGGACCCGCTGGTACCTGGTCCTTTCCCATGGGCCTGCTGCCGGACTCCCCAACAAAACCAAGGGGAACAGTCCCGCGGGACCCTGAACCCCTCGATTTGCTCCTGCGCTCCTCCGTCGCTCCGATCTGGCCTCGATCCCGGGACCCGCCTAGTGATAGTTCAATGATGTAACCTATAGGGCTAAGCCCCAACCTGGCTGCAGTAGGCGCAGTCCTACTCATAAAGAGTAAGGGCAGCCTGTCTAGGCCTGCAAACAATACCTCGGGCCGCCCCTCTAACTTACCGCTAGCGTCCAAGGGCCCGCAGGGCACCCACGTGCTACCTTGGGGGCACGGCCTTGCTAGGCTTGCTGTGCACGTTGCCGCATCACGCGGCGACTATGGCCGGGCTCTCCTACTCCCTCATTTTCATCGGGGAATTGCCCGTTCTACCACCTTTGGGCCGAAAAACGCCCCGACTTCTACTCACTCCGTCCCGACCTACGCCGTCCTAGCTAAAGCTCGCCATGGCCTTTACCGTAGGCGGCGCATGATCAACCTAGTACCTGCGCAACTTCACACGGCGCGACCCTGAGACGTCGGCCTCTAGTGAGTCAGACAACACCCCCCTCTAGTCATAGCCTTACCTGGTCAACACGACGTTGCCCGTAACTTTGCCCGTGTGTGCGAGGTTACGACTGCCGCAGAAAGTCTAGCTTAACCCTAATCTATCATACCGGCGTCTCATGGTCTTCCTCAACCCGGACTCAGTCAAGCAAACGCGTGCCCACGAAGTGCACGCTCACACACTCCCTAACCAATACAAATGGGACACGCCCTCAGATAGCGTCAGGCTCGTTTTTCTTGTGAGCTGCAAAAACGTGCCCAAATACGCTTGTAAGGGTATTCGGGCCGACAGTTTTCCGGACCTTATTAAGCAACGTCCCCGTCGCGTCGGACAATCATAGCTATAACAGAATTACATCCGATTCACCGGCTCGACTCCGTTCGAGGTTGCCTTATCAACCTGCTCCCGTCACGACGTTCCACTGCTAGGGTTTCAACCTGGGTCTCCTACGTCGTGGCCTCGGAGTTAGGGGATACTTTGTTCCGTATTACAGCGTACTACCGGCTCCTAGGTAGTAGGTTGATGGTCCTCTCCCTTCGTCGTAGACCTCTGCCAGTTCATCGTTGGGTGTCCCATTTAGTCATCATCCCGCGAACGGGGTCACAACTTAGGACGCGGACCCTAACCGAGACCTCTCAAAACACAGGGCGCTTTCAGCCGCCCACATGGTAGTATCTACCATCTCAACTCACACGAACGCCCAGCCTGGAGTCTAACACAGGCGGCTTCAGGTCTCCATCTTGGCCCACCATGGACCGGTTGATCACGCCGAATCCACGGCCCACCGCGTTGTTATGTAGCGATGGTGCCCTCGTTGGTTACGCAACGATAGGCAACTCTTCCTATCTCGGCACCCCAAAGGGTCCTGACTTTGGACTTAATCGACCCCAATGACCTTCCCTCCAGCTAAACCTCTCTGGGTGGCCGACCCTTCAAGACTTAACCTTTGGTAAGTCATGGTCCCGCTGCCAGGTTGCGCCGGTCAGCGGCCCTCGCTGGGAGTTATGTTCTACAGTTCCAGCGATGCTAAGTATAGCCCCTTAATCTGGCCTCACAATACGTCCCTTTGACTAAACCTTGTGGTCTGGCACTTCCTTTCACAACAGCAATCAAAGGATCACATACCGCTGCCCACGGGACTACGTGGAGGGATAGTGCCCTTCTCAATGTTTCACCCAAAATCCTCAATAATTCCACAGGGTCGTGTCTCCCTTACTCTGATCAGAAGCAGGTGAGGTCACGCGTCTTTTTAGGGATACTCACAATATTCTTCAAGTTCCAACATAATTGCCAGAAATTTCCAACTATGATTTTCACAAAATATCTGGTCTTTCGTCGTCAGACTTTTACATACATACAAACATTATTATTATTTATAGCGACTCTTTTGAGCGTTCTCCAAAATTTTCATCCTGTTAAGAAAATCCAATCGGCCGTTGGACTTCCCTTTTTCTTTTTCAATCATACACAAAATCACACAACTTTTAGTTGTGACCTTTCCATTCATCATTATCTGGGCAAAATACATCATGTCATCATTGTTTCCATAATGTGAGGACACTTCCTTCCATTATACTCCCGACTTCACTTGTCATGGGGCAGGGAGGTGTAAGTACAGTAGAAGAAAGCGCAAATCAAATCATTTCACAATACTCGTCTCATCACACCATCATCCATATGGGCAAATCCATAAACTGAGAGTGAGAGTGATACATCGTACACAACCCAAAAAACGAAGTTTGAGACTCACATACACATTAGGACATGGGACCCTTCCATGAGCAGAAACACCCCTGTCCTTATTATAGAAATCAAGGTATTATACAAGGAGTTCGGGTATCTCACAAAGAATCAAGGTAACCAAGTGTCGAAGTATCAGGCTCGACAGCCGCTCTACACTCACGAGTGTTATTTCACAAGAATACTAGCACTCTACACCACACTAGCAAAAGGAATAGTCAGACTCAGTGTTATTTTTATGTACAGAAGGACTCTCAAGTCTATAATGCGATGTAACACCTCACTACTAGCTCAACTTACTGACGTACATGGGTCTGATCCAATCCTCCATGTACCCTTCTATATACAAGTAGTCACCAGTCTGAGAGTCAGAGAAGTCCCACATATGTTTAGACTTTAGACCTTTCCGGATCTTATTAGAAATTCCTACTCCTGATCACTCATGACCTCCTGCAACTGCCTATACAACTGCGCCCTCACCCCATCACGAGCCTTAGGAACTAGGTTTTCATTTCTATCCATCCACACCCCTGATGACTCTCTGGTGCACAATCCATTTGACTCGTCCTTGAGGCTCTTGAGGCAGTCATCAGACCGATGTTTGCCCCTCTTGCAATAAAAGTACTTGCCAAGTTTCTTCTGGGACATCTTGTCTCCTTCCAGCGAGGGTACAGATGACGGGATTGTTGAGATCTTGCTCGTAACCTCCTGCTGTGGGACCCCTGAGGAAGCGGGGCAGGCTGCCCTGTCATCTGGTGGCATCCCCAGCTCCCTAGCACGCTCCTCTGGCCCTGACCCAGTGGCCCAAGATCCCAGTACATCCCGCAAATCCGTAACAACTGGCACCTCCTAAAACATGGTTGACTCCTGACAGTCCCTCATGTCCACTCTCTGCTCAGTCCCAACCATAGTCTGGCCCACACTTTCCTGACCCTCCTGCTGTCCTACAGTCTCTTTCCGAATAGTAGTTGGAACCTCCCCAGCTCTCATTGCCTCAACTGGTGGTCCCTCTTGTGGTACTGCCGGCTCGTGTCCCAGTGTCAGGCCAGCAGGTAACCTCCACTCAAACTCTCCGGCCTCTGCACCCTTTTTCACAAGCACTCCTGGCTGCTCCAACATCTCTTTGTCGATCAGAGGGATCTCCTCACCCTCCTGCTGGTCCTCCATCTCTACTTCCTTTTCCTTCTTGAAAACCTCCTCTGCAGTTTGTTCCCTGATTTCAAACTTTTGGACCTCTGTCCAATCCACCACTCTAGTGGGGGCTTGCTGGGCATACTTGGCTTCGAGGTCTCGAATTCTCTTCTCCCACTCAGTCTCCTTAACCTGGAAGAAGGTCAGTTGTGCACACAAATAGGCCCTCAGGGCGTCAGTGACCTTGTTAAGGGTCTGGTTGACTTGTCTGACGGCCTAATTCTCTGCTGAGACCTTTTCCATGTCTGCCTTTACTGCCTCCAACTCTTTGCCCTGTCTTTCCAGCTCCTTCTTCAGGTCCTCAGCTACTCTTTTCCAGTCCACTCTCTGGCTATATGCCTTCTGTGCCACCTTCGTCAGTCTGTGCCCAATCTTCTGATCTGATGCCCTGGCTGCCGCGAAGCGTTCTCTTATCACGCCCTTCAGGTTGAGTAGGTCTGTAGAGACCAAGTTAACCCCCATCTCCTGATGTTGTCCCCCTGATCTTTCTGTGGCGTCCATCAACTTATCGAAGCCCATCCAGACCTCAGAGAAAAGAGGAGGGTCCTCCTCTTGAGTGCAGGTACCCTTTCCTTTTTTGTCCTTCACCTCCTCAGACCCTTTCCCTTGTTGCATCCTCTCATGCAACTCTGCAAGGTTCTTCATCCTGAGCCGGGTCCTAATCTCTTGCTCCCTTGCTGCTCTCTCTTTCCTGTCCAACTCCTTCTCCTCAGCAGACTGAACCTCTCTTTGCTCTTGTGTATGCGGTTCGTGAGGGATGTCTGGCTCTGCGTCAGGCATGGGGCCATCCATCTCCCTCTGAGCAGGTTGTGGAGGTGCATTTGAACCATCGGACCCCTCTGCTCTCTCATGTTGGTGGGACTTGTGTTCCTTCCTCTTTTCCTCCCTCTGAGCCCCTGGTGACGCGCCCTGCTCAAAGGTTCCCCTTGCCTCTGTCTCAGGTTCCCTTCTCCTTTTTTCCACACCTCTCCTCTCACTTGCCTGACGAGCTGGAGTATAATAGTTCCATAGCAGCTTCTTGCAGTGCCCGCAGTTTATGGCAGATGCTACCATGGATCGTACGAAGGGTCTGATATGGTGTCTCACAAACAACAGGAAGCTCCCCACTCTCTGCTCTCCCGGGATACAGAGTTCATCCACATATCGATCATAAGCCCATAAGAACTCCCCCAGATTAGTGGAGTCGAATCGAATAGGCTGTCCATCCCTTCCCAGTGATGACGGATGCAAACCCTCCATCCTCCATCCAAAGTCTTGCCAGCTCAGCGACTCTCTGACCAGTTTAGCAATAGGGTCCGCCCACTCGCCTGTGCCTCGCACCTCTCCCAACATCCTGGTGTTGTCCCATCCAAACTCTCTCGCATGCCGCTCGAACTCCATTAGGAACAGCTCAATGTTCCCTCCCTGGAAGACTGGAGGTCTGTCCTCTCTCCTGGTCCTCATCTGCGTCCTCTGTCGGGTTGCCCCCAAAGGGGTTTCCACTGGCCCTGCCCCTCCCCTCCCTCTTGGCATGGCTGCCCCAAGCGGTATCAAGCCTGCACAACAGGGAAGAGACGAACAGAAGCACACAGAGCGTAAGCGATGTCAGACAAAACACAACAGGAGACAGACATCATCCTCCCACACCTATCTCAACTACCTACCTACACACACACACGCATACATAGCCATACACACATGCAAGTCTAATCACAACCTATCACGCTATTCTACTGAGAGCAGCACCCGAAGTAGCCACTAGATGACTCTAAGTGGTGGGATCCCTGCTCACCTGGTCTCGAGCCACGAACTTCTTTAGCCTTGAGCCAGACACCCAGTCCTTCCATGCCGTCCCATTCAGCTCTTCGATTTGGTAGGCACCATGTTCACCACATTTGGTGACCCTGTAAGGCCCCAACCACTCCAACTTCCGCGACCACTGCTTTTCCAGGGACGAGTCATACAACAGCACTACGTCTCCCACCTTGAGAAGCTCCTTTCTTACCCTCGCCATCTTGTCCCACCGGAAATTGTCCTTGGTACGGCTGTCCGCGGTTCTACTTGCTGCCTCCTCAATCCTGTCCTCAATAGCGCCGATCTGTCGTGCCCTCAAATCCAGCAGTTCCTCAAAGGTCAGATCAGTCTCGAGGTCCTGTCGCCTCCAGGTTTTCAGGAAGCTTTCAATGGGAAACATCGCATGCCTGCCGTACCATAGCGTAGCCGGTGCATAGCCAGTGCTCCTCCTGATAGTGATTTTATCCACGAAAAACGCGACCCTTAGAAAATTTGGCCATTGGTTGGGCCTGCCATCGGTCCGCTTGGCAAGAAGATTCGTGATGGTGCTATGCCCCCTCTCCACAGGTGCGTTGGCTTGAGGGTGCCCTGCAGTAGTGTACTCAGCGATTACCCCATACTTCTTCAAAAGAGCCTTCACTTCTGCACATGTGAACTAAGATCCTCCATCCATCACGAATCTGGACACAAAGGTGTAGCGAAGATAGTACTCTTCGATGCATCGGGCCAACGTCTCTCCAGTCTTCGTGCGAATGACCCTGCCATCCACAAACCCCGAGAGGTTGTCCCGTGCATCAAAGATGAAATTGTAGCTCCCTATCCCCAACGACATTGCCAATAGATCCAGGTGCACGGCTGTTCCAACCTCACGAACGTTTCTTGGGTGCAGCGGCTCCCTGGGTCTGAGAGCAGACCGTTCCTGGCATGGCACGCAAGACTTACAGTAGTCGTCGATCATCTGCCCCATCCCATCCCAGTAGTACAGTTCGTGTATCTTCAGATACGTCGTATCTGCACCCCTGTGGCCACCTGTCGTACCGTCGTGCAGCGCCGCCATAATGTCAATCTGACGGGCGAGGCCGCAAACTACCCTTCTGGGATCTCTTCATTTACTTCTCATGAACAGATGGCCGTCTCTTACCAGGAACTTGGCCTCATCTTCAGAATCCGCGCGCAGGCATCCCTTTCTCTCATCTCGCACGAAAGAAGCATGCCGAGTTCAAGGTATACTCCCTCGTATTCCTCTTCTCGAAATGCTTCTTTAATCTCACCTTCCTCAAAGCCATCATCTTCTCTCTCGTGGATCACGTTGTCACCTCCTCCCGGCTCTATCTCCTCTTCCTGGTCTAGTACCGTATTTCTGACCATCTCTTCCTGAAGCAGCGCATTTGCCAGCAGGTACACCCCACCTATCATCTTCTCGTGCTTACCCACTTGTAGCGCCCCATTTTCAATTGTAAGCGGGTCTTCCTGCAGCTCGTACTTGCCTGCTAAGGTCAGCTCCATCATCCGACCTACGCCCGACATTCCCCAAGAATCTTCTTCAATATAGGGTTTGAGGACCAAGTCTGGCCGTCGTACATGTCCCGGAGGCGCAAGTCATACAGGTCGCCCAGGAGTAACGTACTTACCCACGGCCAATGCCCAGGAGTTGATATGAAGTCTCACATCCTCCTCACTGTCCAAGAACCCGTCGACTTGTGGAGTGTCCTCGATCACTCCTTGACGGTTCTTGTCCCAGTCGACTCGGCTCAGCCCGTCTGCCCTATTCTTGGTCCCAGGAATTCGCTCCAACTCGAAGTCAAACATCCAGATGTACGTCAGCCATCTGGCGATAGTTGGATCTGACGGAGCGAAGTGCTTGAGAGAACCAGCCAGAGTCGTAGCGTCCACCCTTAATACGAACCTATTGCCAAAGAAGTAGTTTCTGAAGATCCTCAAACAGTGAAGGACCGCCAAGGTTTTACGCTTGAACTGAGAGTAGTTCCTTTCAGACGTATTGAGCGTCCGACTCTCAAACCTTAGTGGTCGTTCCTCCCCATTGGGATCTCGCTGGATTAACACACCTCCCAGCGCATGTGGCCCTGCGTCTGTCTCTACGATGAACGGCCTGGTCATCATCGCCGCATGGTCCGGAACCCCCAGTACTTGACCTCCTTCCTCAAACTCCTTCTTCAGGTCTTTTATCACCGACTCTTGTCTGTCTCCCCACTCCCAGTCTTGTCCTTGACGCACGAGCTTTCGTAATTGTTCCGTCTTTGCCGCAAACCCCTTAATAAAGATCCTCCAAAACCCACACGTGCCCATAAAACTTCTCACCTCCGTGATAGTCTGGAACGGTGTTGGCCATTCGAGAATCTTGTTAGTCTTCTTAGTATCTGGCCGACGACCCCTCTCGTCGCACACAAATCCTAAGATAGTGGCACCACTCATGCAGTGCCTCGATTTTGGTCCACTGGCAGTGAGGTTATGCTCCTTCAAGAGATCCAGGACCTTGCACAAGTCTTGCACATGATCCCACACAAAGCGCCTGATTCCTGGCATCACCTTCTGCTCATCCTTCTCCTTGGGCCCTTTCACGGCCTGATCATCAATGTAGGGCTGCGTGACGTGAGGACTTATGGGCTGCATCGCCCTCACCATGTGCCGCTGAACCATAGCGACCGCATTCGTCCACCCCTGCAGTGCGAAGTTCATGTGGATCAGCCCTCGAGGGGTATGCATGACTGTCACAGACCGGTCCGACGGGTATACAGGGAACTGATCGTAGCCTGAATACAAGTCAATGAGGGATATGATGATCCTTCCAGCGCATGCCTCCGAAAGCGCATCAGCGTTGGGGAGACCACCTGCGTCCCTCACCGTCACAGCATTCAGGCGCTGTAAATCCTGTACCCACCTAAGTGTCCCATTGGGTTTGACAAAACAAAACCATGGGGACGCATAGGGTCCGCTCGAGTAATCTGCCACATGAGTGCGGATCTTCCCATCAAGGTAGTTGACCACCTTCTCTTCGTCAACGGGATTAGAATACCGCGCACCTCGCAAGTTCCATGGTTCATGGGGTACGGTATGTATCATAATCATTGGGATAATATCCACGTCCAGTCGGCCTCTCTCATCATCACTGAAGGCATATGCAGCATGCCTTCCTCTTATGGTCTCTACCACAAGTTTCTCCTCCTGCGCAGTAAGGAAACCAGGTTCCCCTACAATCAACGTCTTTTCTGTCTCGGGATTGATACGGCATGGCCCATTCTCCGCTCTCTCTCGCATCTGCCATATCAGCTCTCGATCCCGTTCGTAATAAACTTCTTGTTCCTCGGTGACGAGTACGGGAACGGGGCGACATTTCTGGTCTACCTTTTTGTACCGCCTTTGTGCTCCCTGCTTGAGCCCACCCCTAAAAAAGGCCGAGTTGTGTTTTGGGGCTGTGCTCCAGCTGTCCCACCTGTCTTCCCAGGCGTTCGATATACCAGTTCCATCTCCCCTGCACCCATTTGCTCCACTACCTTCTCTCTCAAGGCCTCCACAGCCTCGGGGTCCGCCATCCCATAGGTCGACACTATGTCCATAGCGTCGCCTATGTTCGCCAAACTTAGAGTCAGCGCCTCAGGCTCTCTTACCTCCTCAAGCCTGCTGTTCTCGATCCTTAGCCTCTCCTCTTCTGACTCCTCAATCGTGAATGACCCGGGGTTGGGCCGGTTCCTCTCGCTCTTGGGTCCTGTGTTCTTGCTGGTGATGACCTCGTAATTCCCACACACGGGGTCACACAGGACAAGGAACATAGTCCCGTCATGTTTGTTGAGAATGACCGTCTCTGTCCGACTTAGAAACGGCCTACCCAGTAGGATAGGGTGGTCCAAATCAGGCATCACGAAGAAACAACTTCTTACTTTTACCTTCCCAATCTCTAGAATCACATACGATGCGGTCCCTATGAAAATCGACCGACTGTTTGCTCCCATCAGAACCCCGTTGTCGGATCAATCTACCTCCATCCCTAGACGCACTGCATCTGCCTCCTTTATGAGGTTCATTTCTGCGCCGCTATCCACCATTGTTGTGCACGTCTTCCCTTTTACCACCACATCGAGGCACCCACAGGCTACTGACTTCCAGTCCATTTTCGTGCCTGTCTCGGCCCACTCAGCCTACTTAGGGATTATAGTCCCTAACCGCACGCTGACCACCATCTTCCTAGATAACCGTGCTCTTAGCTTGTCCCTGAGCCTTGGCGCTGAGGCCAGGACGTCCTTCAGGTTCATAAGATGATTATGACCTTCCAGGATCCTGTCCATTATCTCCTCTACATCGAACCCTTCCTCTACGAGGACCGCATACCTTTTCTTCTTTACTTCCTGTGCCTTATCTGTATCTGGCCTGGCGCCCCTCTTTTTGGCCCTTTGTTCGGCTTTCTCATCCTCTTCTTTTCTTAACCTATCATCCTCATCATCCTCTTCTTCTTCTGGGACCTCCACAGCCTCTTTCTCTCCACTGGGTTCGGGAACATCCTAAGCTGGCTCCTCAGGGCTTACTGGCCCTTTCGCCCTTGTCCTGACAGCATGTGGCGCCCTCCCCGTCCCGGAGGGTGGTCTAAAGGTCATTCCGGATCTTGGCGCCTGTCCTGAAGTCGTGACGTTCGGTAAGTTGCCTGACCCTCCCTGCGACCCAGGGCCTAGGTCGTAGAGGTATACTAGTGGCTCCTTACCCTTCCATTCCTTAACCCTTTCACACATATCAACCAGCTTTTGTTGGTATCTCCCGACTTTGTCCATTAGGTCCTCCATTATCTCCATCGTTTGCCGGACCGTCTTTCAATAATCCTCCCCGGTTTCCGCATGTCGTGGCCTATTCCAGCAGTCCTCTTCAATCTCATCGTCTGACTCTATTATAATGGGTTCCGCCTCAGTAGCGCCGACTTTCCTCTCTTGCCCCACCTCGTCGCTCTCTCCAACTTCCTCTATCCTGATGTCACTGCGAACCTTTATCCCCTGCCATATCCGGAACATGGCTGGAGGCGCGGGTGGTTCGCCGGCCTCGGCTCGTCGTAGAGCCTCCTTCCTCGTACCGCCTGGGATCTTTGGGTCAAGGTAATACCCCCACTTATCGTACATGTCCCCATCGTAGTTAGTGCTAATCAAACCCTCATCCTCATCGTTCCTCCTGACGTGGCAGAACTTGATAGTGTGGCCTTTCTGCCCACAATGCCAGCAAATGGCATTTCTCCAGTCTATCCTCCCTCTGCCGGCACCTCTTCCACCCTCTTGACCGCCTTGATTCCCAGATGCCGTCCAACCCTCGTTTCCGCTACCTGAAGCGTTACCGCCACCATTCTCTCTGCCATTTCCTCCTCGACCACCATTCCCTCGCCCTCGGCCCCATCCTTGATTCTGACCACGTCCACCACCTTGGTTGCCTTGCGATCCTTGTGGGGCTGACTGCTGAGGTTGGTTAGGCGGTTGGTTTGGGTGACTCACCTGCTGAGCTTGGGGTCCCGGGCAGCCGCAGGAAGCTGTGCTCATCGGTGGTCCGGCACATGACCCATGCGGCCCACTCATTGGCCATGGGGCGTATGAACAGTGCCCATGCCAATGACTTGAGGGTCCACAACGTGGCCATGGCCCACAGTGTGTTTGTGCAGCCTTTCTGGGTGACTCAGGGGGCGGCATGGCTACCGCTTGTGGGACCCGGCCCTTCCCTGAGCCTTGCCCCCCTTGAGCCAGATTCCTTGCTCTCCTTTGAGCCTTTGTCAACTTCTGTGGCTCCGGCTCCTCTTCCTCTTCCTCTTCTTCTTCCTCCGGCACCACCGTTTTCTTTGCTTTACCTTGGGTCTGTGGTGCCGCCATAGTTTTTTTTTTCGCCTCCTTCTCTGCATCGAGCTGGGCCACTGCATCTTCTATCAGTGTTTTAAAGTCCCGCTCGTCGCTCGTCATGGCGTCCAAGGCCTTTCTTTTCTTCCTAGCGTGTCGCATTTGGAAGATGTCTACTTGGTCCAGTTCTCCTTCTATCACGCCCTCCTTTATGGCGGCCCAAGTCAGCTTCTTTCCTGGCGCAGCCTTCTTGGTTAGCGATGAGGCCTCCCAATTCTTGAAGTGCCCCAAGAAAGTGGCACACTGTTCCTCCTCCGCCAACCCTGGGACTTTCTTTGCCATCTTTTCAAATGTCGTCGCGAAGGCTCCCACCGTGGAGAACTCGTCTCGCTGCAACATCTCCAAGTCCGTCTTCGTTAACAAGCCATCCCCTAACTTGAACCGCCTCTGCATTTCTGCCTTGAACTTAGCCCAGTCTCCTTCTTCTCTAGCAGCCACCTTCATTACCTCGGGCCGAGTTTCCCACCAGACGTACCTGGGCAGGAACTTGAATTTATCTGCCTCAGGCACCTCGGTCGTAACCTGCTCCAGCAGCTCCAGCCACTCGGGTACTCTGTCCCCATTAAAATGAAAGATGTTCACTTTCGACACTTGAAGTCGTGCCAACTCCCTTTTCTCGAGGGCCTTGACGAAATCCTCTGGCGTAGCGGCCGAGCCACGCTCGATTTCATCAGTATCCGGCATCTTCACCTCTTTTTGCTAACCAACCTGACAAGAGTAACAAGGGATAGATCGATAAGCGATTCGTCAAGTTTAGAGGGTCTGCCCTACGTCCTTCTTGACCATTCCACCCTTAAATTTAGCTACATGCTCCACCATTAATCATTCGCGCCCTTTATACAACCTTTAATCGCATACCATATCACTCAGTCTTATTATGACGTCATATACAACCCTCCTATAACTTGTTGTCGTTTTGCTTAGATCATCAGCCTGCACTTAACCTGGGTTCGTTCTCTAAAGGACCCCGGTAGGCAGCCGAGATCCCCGGCAACGGCGCCACCTGTCGAGCGCAACGGTCCCACACGGGGACCCTCCCGGCCGCGTCACGCACAATTATGCAGGGCTTGTCGCGGAGAGCGTTTGCCGCTCCAGCCGAGTGCGCCAGTCGTACCTCTCGCGAGCCCCTACGACGGGACAGAGTCATGCGAGGCACCGCTACCTCCACCTGTAGGAGCTGTCACCATCCCTTAGGTGGGCGTATCCCTGCTGAGCTACTGAGCCATATGCGAAAGTTTTTCGTATGCAATTGCAGAGGTGGCCCAGCCGAGGGCGTTTCTCGCTCGCTATAGCATAGGCGGCACGCACGGTCGAACGCCCGAAATCGAACCCGTACGCGAGTCGTCGTACTGGGGGGCTGAAGTCCCAAACACAATTCGGCGCCCGTCGACTAGGATGCACTACACACCCACGCGTTACACGACAACACCCACGCTTACCCACGCATAACATACGGACACACACACAACAATTTCCACAA